AGACACACAAACAAACAAACACACTCACACACACACACACACACACACACACACACACACACACACACACACACACACACACACAAACACACACACAGACTCGCAGAAAGCAATAGAAAGAACAGACCACAACAAAGCGCCCGCCAACTGCTCATTACAATTTTAAAAGTAGCGAGTAAGCCTATTGCCCTTTTGCTCACTTTCCAATTATGCACCACATTGTCTACAACCCACGCGACACCACTCACTGTAAAGCATGGCGTCTCAGAGCAGTGGGAAATTTGGCTTTAAAGACACATTTAATGACATCATTTTTATGTTAGTAGATTCATGTTCAATACAATGTTATGTAAATGATTATGTATCCATTTATGTATTTAGTGAATTGCAATGTGTATATAATTTTATTATATATGTGCTCATTTCGTGACGATGTGTAAGCGTACGCGTATGATAAGCAAGTAGATGTGTGTGTGTGTGTGTGTGTGTGTGTGTGTGTGTGTGTGTGTGTGTGTTTGGCGTACATGTGTGTGCACATGTGTGCGTGTTATGTGTGCGTGTGTGTGTGTGTGTGTGTGTGTGTGTGTGTGTATGTGTTTATGTGTGTGTATGAGTGTGTATGTGCGTGTGTGTGTAGCGTGCGTGAATATTGTTCGTACATGCATTTATGTAAAGCACCTTGAGCTGTGCATACACGGAAGTGGGCGCTATAGAAATGATCTTCATTATTATTATTATTATTATTATTATTATTATTATTATTATTATTATTATTATTAAAGTATGGCGTCTCAGAGCGGTGGGAGATTTAGCTGTAAAGCATGGCGTCTCAAAATGTTCCTCACACAAAACATTTCCTTTGTTTAGTGTTTAATTAAGTTGTCTTTCCACCCAAACCAGCCTGTCGTCAAATTATCACCCATTTCATTGCCCTTGATAAAAAGGGGGTGATGGACATGATTGAAAGGAATTGAGCATTGTCAAAAAAAGAGATTTTTTGGGGTAAGCATATGTATGCACAGGAAAACGGGTGCCTTTCCTAAAGAGTTCTTAATGTTAAAAATGATTCATTTCCAAGAGTCGCTTGGGGGAATTCGCATTGCTCCCTGCTTTCGTTCTCCCTCTATCATTACAGAGTTATACATTAAATAAATACTGAAACAAAGAAACAATCTCCAACACGTTTGAAGAGTTTGTTGTATAAGACTCACAATTTCAGGTCATTGATCCTCATAAGGAGTTCAATCTTCAATGGTAACTTTCATAGTTTGAGAGTCCTTGTAAATTTTTTTTACATTTAAAAATTTGTGCCTTTAATTAAAGTGTTTCAGTGAAATTCGCACAGAAATCTGTTTTTAAATGGGCATAAAAGATGTTGGACTAAAAAATAAAAATTTGATAAAAATTGCCAAACCGGCAGAACAATGCTGTTTTCTTCCATTCCATTATTTTGACAAGCGCCTGATTTCATCACGATGCCTCACATATCTTTCACCAGTTAGAATGCAAGCCAGATCTGGGCATTCGAATCAGACTGGCTCAATGGCAATACATGGACGCAATGGAATTCACCCCCCCCCCCCCCGCCCCCAAATGATGTCGAAGCCGTACGAGTAAATGCAGAAAGATCGCTGAGCTGCTTCATACAGGGTGCGAACATTCCACGACGCAATCCGGAGAGACTTGTTCGACAGAGAAAGTTTCGGGTCAGAAGAGTCCTTTCGGCTTTGTCCGCTGTCCTTCATTGTTCCTGCAGGTGCAGAAGCTCCTCCGTCTCCCAAGGTCGAAAAATAAAAAGCTGTGTTTGTCCGTGTTTCTGTAAATTACTGGGTTGGGTAGTTGGTCCTCCGTAAACTGGCACTTTTCGGGCGACCAGACCTTTGCACTTTTAGTCGCCTCTTACGACACGCAGTATCACGGCAGGTGTATCCTTTGCTCCCCCATAGTAAAACTATGCCCCCCCCCCCCCCCCACCTGCAGGGGCAAAGTACTGAGTACTAGTATAGATTAGCGCCCACCTCTAGCCTAAGCCTATCAGCTTCCCCAACTTCATGGTGACCTGTTCTTAGACCGAAGGAGGAAAGGGGGGGGGGGGCGAATTCAGGATCCCCCAATTGATAGCCTGAAGATTGATACAATGTATAGAGTAGAGAGTGCTTGTTTTCGGCGCAGTGTGCTATTTCGACACTCCTCATGGGGTGCACCCAACAACAATCAACGATGCGGAAAGCTTACAACTTTGGTGCGCGGGGTTTCTTTTTAACCGACAGCTGAATTATCTTTTTTTAAGGACGCGCGATTCCTTTTGCGGCGCTCAAAAAGTGTGGAAATAACCCATTAAAAAAGTGTGACTCTCAAAATAACGACACCCCTGCTGCAATAATTTGTTTCACCATGTTGCAAGTCCGTCACGCCTAGTGGTTATGTCGACACCCTCTACGGGTGATTTCGAAGCTTATGTACCGGAGGGCATAATAGTTGTCTGGTAGGCCTAGTACCGGCAGTAGGCCTAGTTGTAATAGTAGCAGTAGTATTGGCAACGGCAGCGGTGGTAGTGGTAGTGGAAGTGGTAATGGCAGCAAAAACAGTGATAGTGGTAGTGATAGTGGTAGTTGTAGTGGTAGTGGTGGTGGTAGTGATAGTGGTAGTTGTAGTGGTAGTGGTGGTGGTAGTGATAGTGGTAGTGGTAGTGGTAGTGATAGTGGTAGTGATAGTGGTAGTGATAGTGGTAGTTGTAGTGGTAGTAGTAGTGGTAGTAGCAGCAACAACAACAGCAGTGGTAGTGGTAGTGGTAGTGGTAGTGATAGTGGTAGCGGTAGTGGTAGCGGTAGTGGTAGCGGTAGTGGTAGCGGTAGTGGTAGTGGTAGTGGTAGTGGCAGCAGCAACAACAGCAGTGGTAGTGGTAGTGGTAGTGGTAGTGGTAGTGGTAGTGGTAGCGGCAGTGGCAGTGGTAGTGGTAGTGGTAGTGGTAGATCTAGTGGTAGTGTCAACAACAGCCAGAGGAGAGATACAACGATACATTTTAAAGTTTGATAAAAAAAAAAAAGAAGGAACTAACCATAGTATATTTCAACACTTAGAGTCTGCCTTGAGTGTTCAACAAACAGAGGCCCTAGTGGCGTCGGTGGCCTAGTGATTAGGCTCTTGGAGAATATTTTAAAGAATATTTTGGCGAAAACGGCATGTCGATCGATGCAGCCATGAAAAAGCCTTTTGAATAGCAAAATTCGGCCACCACGAATAGATAATAGAACTTTTCCATGAGAAGCAGTTGCAGTGGAAACCTGATATAACAGCGATGCTGGGACCAGAGAAAAGGTCCTGTTATATGAGATCCCTGTTAAATCAGAAATGAAAGGGAAGTAGGCATTTGTGGACTAATCCAGCTGTATTTATTCATGGGGAGTTTCCCTTGCCACAAGTACCATGACGTAGCAGACTTGCGCATGACACATTACTATACGCGTGCGTGTAGCTAAGCTTAGGGTTTGATCAAAGTGCTCGCAGTGGCGTGGCTTGCGTGAGCTTGCTCCATCACTACTGCGTTACTCTCTCTCTCTCTCTCTCTCTCTCTCTCTCTCTCTCTCTCTCTCTCTCTCTCTCTCTTTCTCTCTCTCTCTCTCTCTCTCTCTCTCTCTCTCTCTCTTTTACCTTTTACACTTTGTTAACGAGCCTTTGTCCCCGCTATTGCATATTGGGCTCCGATGAGGCCCTGTTATTGCCAATAACTTTTAATAGAGACAAAGAGTAGGAAAAAAAAAGAAATTTTCAAAATCCCTGCCATTACCGGATCCATGTTATCACAGGACCTGTTATATATAAACTAAACGAGGCATTCATATCCAAAACCCAGGGAAAATAATAGGTTTTTAACTTTAGTAGCCCAGTCGACTCTGCCCAGTTCACAGAAACGATATTGTTTTTTGTAACATTACTTGGGATATCTGTCATTTTTTAAGCGTATAAGTCTGCACCAGAATTTAAGGACACAATGCCTGTAATCAGAACATAAATTGGTTCTTCCCACTTCTATTAGAACTAAATATTTGGGTGTGGCTTTGTCAAGACCCAGAAAAGTTTTCCAGAACTTTACCTGAACATTATCAATCACGTCCCAATTCTTGGTACCCAAATTTCAGAGCCACAAAGCAGCTCTGGTTTAATCTTAGTATAAAAAAATGTTGTTGTTTTTTTGTTGTTTTTTTGCTGTTTCGAAATTTAATTCTTGGTAAGAACCGAAAAGCCTTCTTGTTCGAGGAACATTCTGTTGAGTTTTACAATCTCGATCTTCTAGCGTTCGTCTCCACCATAGACACGATGAAAATGAGAAATGCCCAAGTAACTGTAAGAGAGAGAGAGAGAGAGAGAGAGAGAGAGAGAGAGAGAGAGAGAGAGAGAGAGAGAGAGAGAGAGAGAGAGAGAAGAGAGAGAGAGAGAGGGGGGGGAGAGGGGGGAGGGAGAAAGAGAGAGAGAGTGGGGGGGGGGGGAGAAGAAAGAGAGAATACAGTTCTTTTCAGTTGTGAATTTGAAGACAATGTACTAAACTTTCATTCCAATTTCAAGTCCATTTTCTTGCCATTGTCTGGTCACGTAATTTCTATTGTCATCGCTTTTGTCTTGAAATTGTTGTCTTTTTCCTACCCATGAAATGAGAGCTTCATTTAATGAAACAAAATCCATAAAAACAAGTGAGAAATGTGAAGTTGCTGAAAGGAAACCGTGAGAAATTTTAATTGCAAGATAATGCCTTCGCATTCATCTGAACAACTGAGAGTGGCATGGAAGCGAGACGAAAATGAGACGGACTCGCTCAGTTTTCGATCATGAAATTATGAGACACTTCCAGGTCACCGTATTTATTGCTCAGTACAAGTACCTCTTATAATGATGATCTCGAGTTCTTGAGAAGATAATTATTTCAGAGTGTCACGCGAACAGTACAAGTACAAGCAACGATAGTGAAGAGGTTCTTTTCATTTTTTGAGATCTTTAACGAAGGGTTTCACGAGTTTGATTAATTTGTTTACACGCGAGAATGTTTTGGAGAATCAGCTACTTTTTGTAGAACGATAGTGAGAGCTTATTATACCTGTTGTCAGAAGCTGGTGAGGGCATTTTCTCCACGTACTATATAAGTTAGAAGACGGGCATTTCCCCATACATCAAGACCTCCCAACGTTCAGATACAGTGCTTTTAAACAGCAAAGTTACCGAGCAAACTATAGGGACGACGATCTAGCCCCTGTGTCGACCATGAGTGTTTTTATTGCAGACCTCGTCCTCAGTTATGGCCTGACGACAGCAGTCAGCGTCTTGGGTATCCTTGGCAACTTGACGACTATGCTAGTCATGAGCAGGGCAGGACTGAGGGATGTTTTTAACGTGACAATCACATCTTTAGCCGTGTGTGATTTCTTTTTCCTGGTGACCCTCATCTTCCGGCGAATGGTTCACATCATGAAACTGCAGGGTGGAATGCTGGGAATAACGTTAGCAGCGTATTCCAGAGCCTATGGATCAGCAGTCAGCGATTTATTCGCAGTGCTGGCAATCATGCACGTATATTTCATATCTGTCGAAAGATTCTGCGCCGTGTTCTTTCCGTTCAAGATATCAAGAGTATTTACTGTGAACAGAATTCGAATCTACCTTACTCTGTTGTACGTTCTGTTCTCGTTTTGTTTCGTACCGCGTTATTTGCTAGAGATCGTGGTCTGGGAGACAGACACCAGCTCCAACACGTCAATGCCAATCGTCAGATTCAATGATCTCTTTCTCTATGATGAGAAGGTCCAGTACTATACTTTGGCCGTGTACTTCACCCTTGTCATCTCGGGAGATTTCTTTGTGACGTTCAGCTCCGTGTCCATCTCTCTACGTATGCTATCCATCAGCAGAAAGCGAATGGAAATGAACGTCGGAACAAATACCTCGCTGAGAACGGGAAAGACATTTGTCGGAATTTGCATTGTTCACATGATTGTTCAGGTTCCATATTATGTGGGGACTGTAATAGTAACAATATTGCCAGAGGACTTTTTAAATAGTGAAACCCATTCTTTCTTATACAACTGTATTCACCTTTTATCAAGTTTGAAATCCAGTCTCAACTTTATCGTTTATATTTTCCTAGCTCCAAAATTCCGACCGGAACTGAAATCACTTTTGTCATGTCATAAGAAAACCTGATACGTCAGTCCGAAGACTGCTCTGCTCTGTAACAGCAGGCCACTCCTTTGTAAAAAGGGAGCGTATACAGACCCGGTAACAGGGAACAAAGTCACGAAGTATGCAAACCCGGTAGGGGTAATCTTTTGTGATTTCGGAAACTTTCAGCCCCCTCTTGGCTCAGGGTAGACCTTGGTTCTTTAAGATCTATGGTCAAGGTCTAGACTGACTGAAATATTCTCCCCCACCATCTCTTTCTCTCCCTCTGTCTCTCTTTCTCTGTCTCCCTCTATCTGTCTGTCTCTTTGTCTCTGTCTGTCTGTCTGTCTGTCTGTCTGTCTGTCTGTCTGTCTGTCTGTCTCTCTCTATCTATCTCTCTCTCTCTCTCTCTCTCTCTCTCTCTCTCTCTCTCTCTCTCTCTCTCTCTCTCTCTCTCTTTCACCCCACTCTCTCTATAAACTCGATCTTGGACTTAAAGAAAGCCTCGCTGCACTACGCCGTCTGCACATGAAACAATGAAAAGCCTAGATCTAGATGGGGGCTCTCGTGGCCTAGAAGTTAAGGTGTTGGCCTCTCACTCAAAAGGTCCCGGGTTCGAATCCGGGTAGCGACCGAAAAATTTTCTTCTTTAAATTTGTCTCCTTTCACCTCATTTCCTGCTCTCTAGCAATGTTCTGTCGTCTGCTTTCGTCTCCACTTTCTGCCCCCACCCCGTCACCTCCTTTGCTCCTTCCTCTGGGCTCCTGATTCTTTTTGCAGCCTTTCTACTGCTATTCCTTCGCTTGTTCTTACTGCAGTCTTTCAGCCACACCCCTGATCTTCTGGTACGAAAGATCTACACCTAGCCTTATCGGACAAGGGCGAAAAATCTCGGAGGGCCTGTGCAAGTTGCGCACGTTAAAAATCCCTTGGTGGTCTAAAATCGATAAGAGTAGGCTTCGGCCGCCACCCGGGCAAAATTCAAAATTTCCTACCAACTGAAAATATTAGGTGTGTCCCGCGCGCTCATATGACCTATGCAGTTGCGAGCGCCGTAAAACACTCTACTATAAAATTTTAAAAAATTTTAAAAAGATCTAGATCTAGTCCAATTTTTGATGAAAAGCCATGTTATTTGGCCAAGGGAGCGCTTTATCTTTCCAAAATCACAAAAGATTTCCCCTACCGGGACTGAAACTTCGTAACTTTGTTCCCTGTTACCGGGTTTGTATTCACTCTCTTTTTAAAATTATTCTGTGGTTCAAAAGAAAACGTTCTCACAGGCGCTGAATGCGCTTTTGTTAGGGTAGTGACCAAAGATGCATTACTTTAGGATATACAAAACGAAAGAACGCAATAATAATAAATAATAATAATAATGGATTGCATTTATATAGCGCATATCCACTTATGCAATGTTCTATGCGCTTAACATGATACCTATTATGGATTTACAAATCAATTTTAAAGGCACATAGTGTTACATACATGTGCACACACATATTCACGCACGCACACACCACACACATATACACACATACACACAAACGTACATAATGTGCACATACGCACATACAAACTCACAACTATCTACAGCTTGGATGAATTCTGTCTAATCGAAATATGAAGAAAAGAGAAATGCTTTTAGTTTCTTCTTTAAAATTTCTAGATTTTTTGCTTCTCTGATATTTTTTGGAAGCCTATTCCAAACAAGTGGGGCAAAATAT